GGGGGTACCCTTGAGCGATGCGGTGCAGGAAAGATGCTGCTCTCGGTAAATCCGGCCGTAATAACCCCTCCGGCCCCAGACCGGTTTGTAAAAGGAGCGTGGCACACACCTAGGTTCCTCTCTCATCTTTGGCGTTAACTTTTTAGCAAAGTTTGGTTACGTAGAGCCTTTAAGGAGAAATGTTGTATTTTCGCCAGTGTGACATTATAGATCTAGAAGAGATGCGCTGAAAACCACCCTGCTAACGTCGTAGAAGGCATGAGTTTAACAAACCCAAGTGCATAACGCTGCTTCTGTATTGCTCAGTCAGTTATAGACCAGTTACGTACCGTTGTGGTTTTTTTCCAAAGTAAGAAAGAACTTTTGGATTCTTACCTGCACAGGCACATCCAATGACTCAGTCATAAATGCCCGAGTGCTTTGCCTCTGAAGCATTAGGAGTGTGTTTTCTTCAGACAGCGGTTATGAGAGTTGGAGCCAGTTCTGCAAACGGGCTGATGAACAGTCTCTGGCTCCTGTGCAGAGCCCCATTAATTCCAGGGCTGGTTTCTGTTCCTGCTGCATTGGCTCAAGCGAAACACATACATGCTTAACAGCAGTTAAATTACTCTGGCATGAAATAGCATGGAGCAGGCAAAGCACTGAAGGGCTGAGTTCACTGGTTGTTCTGGAGGGTCTCATCAGGTTGGATTTAACACTAACTCAGCACTTGCAGAGCTCTGCTCCACGTGTGACACTTGCCTTTGGCATGAGCTGGCTGTCCCCCTTGGCACAACCAGCATGGCAGGTGGAAGCCACTTCTACCGTTTTCATTTGAAAAGTGAAATAAAGTCAGAAACAAACACAAAGCCATCAGTCAGAGACCCCAGAAAGAATCAGGAGGACAAAGATCAGAGGTCCAGAACACCACCAGCTGCTCTCTGTTCATGTCTGCTGAATACCATTTAAAAACATAACTGGAAATATTTTTTTCAGAATACTACTCGCCTTTTGAGGACAGTCTAAAGTAATGAATTAAAGCTATACAGAAACTTGTGCAATAACCTAATTTTCCACTTTAGTGAGTATTTTTAAAATTAGATTTATAGATACATATTTAAAAACTACTTTCCAGATATTTTTCCTTGTCTCTGTATTTCACAAAGGTAAGTAGCTTATTAGTTGCTCGTCAACCATGCAAACAAACAAACAAAAATCCAGCCATTTTCAGTGTGACTAAAATGTCATTTGCATTAAAACACATTAATTTCTGCCCGCTTTCTGCTCCTGTTCATTGTAGGTAGGACTGCGGAAAAGCCATGCTAACCATAAGGAAGAGGGGACCTGTTTTATAGGGAGCAAGAGACAGTTAACGCAGAACCACTCCCAGACCAAGTGCCTTCAAAGTGTCCTGAAGGAAGTGGAACTCATCCGGAGCTCCAGGGATGGGCAAATTGAAGAAGCAATTAGATTCAATCAAGAGCTGGAAAGAGAGCTGAAGAGCTCTCAGGAGGCTCTGGTCAATCTGGAAGACTGCAACCGTAACCTCAAGAGGGAACAAGCAGAAATGAGGAAGAAGGTTGAAGAGGCGAGACACGCCGTCCTTAACAGTCTTGGCAAAGTGAAGGAGCTAGAAGTGAAAGCTAACCAAGTGCCACATCTGCAAATATACATTCAGCAGCTGGAATCGGAACTGCAGCACTATAGGTAAGTTTGAGTTAGCTTGCGAATCACGGGTTGTAGCTTACTAAATGTCTCCAAATACACCTTCTAAAATCCAGCCAGAGGGAAATCAGAAGCTGCTACCAATTTTCTTGGTAGGGTCCATAGCAGAACTGGGCCCGTTCAGTGGAAGGTAGGTGAAAACAAAGCCGCTGATCTACAGAGAGCTGGCGTTACTCCTCAAACACACAGCAACAGGACTCAACATAGTAATACTTCATGAAAGCCTCAAAAGAAATTGCTGACAGTCCTTTGGAATTCTCTTTCCAACACAGTTATTTTTTCACCTTAACTAGTGCCAGTTCAGACATTTCCTGCTAGTTAAGTCACACATACAAAGCCAGCTGTAATCAGATGGCTCATACTCTGTTTCTTATGAAAGGTGTTCAACTTCTCATATGAATCGGAGAAAAACACACAAGGCCAGCTTCTGGCCAGCAGTTTTAAACTCTGCTGTGACTTTATCACAGCTTCCCTGACAGAATATGTCATGCTCCAGAAAAGAAAACTTAACTTTCCTAAACTACACAATAATATAGTGGGAGTCTCAAACAAAAAAATACATTCTCCAACTAAAACCCACTTTGGTAATAGCGTAAATAAAAATGTTTCCAAAACTCAGAAAGTTGGTCACAAATTTAATAGTTCACTGCTTTTGTTGCTTTTTATCGTAGACAAAACTTGGACTCACTGATGGTTATTAAGTGCTAGGCAATTCCACCCAGGTTTCACATTGACCTATGGAATAAAATGTTTATATTTCTACTGATCCAAAGTAAAGTTAATATTTAATGTTCTTTTCCTAACTGGACTAAAACTGTGGTTTAGTGTATTGTCTATTCTGAACTCCTTGTCTCTTCCTAAACTTATACTTCCTCTGTTTGCTTATAAGAAGAATTCGTAGTGAGTTATTTGTAGCATCAGAGCTATTGTACTGTTTTATGAAGTAAGGAAATTCTAAAAATAATCATTTTCTCTGGTGTCTTTCTGTAAGCATTGTGTATGTTAGTACCTGTGTGGTTGCAGAGATAAAAGCACTTATTTAAACATCTATAGGATTTAAAAAACACTCTGAGGGCACATAATGTCCAAGATGATTGTCATTTACAGGGGTATTTGGATGAATGATACAACTCTCAGTGCTGAGAGAGATGACTCAACTTGTCTAGTCTATTAAGTTCTCCCTGGCGTGAGCACCAAAGACTTCACATGAGTTCCTGTCCTGCAGAATTGCTTTTCCAAAGTATGATGAAGCATAAAAAAATTGTCTTTAACAGGTAGAGCTGAACTATTTAAAGACAATAAGAAATGTCAGCTGGGCCTTGCAGAGCAGGAACAAATAGCGGGAGTGTTTTAAATTGTAAATTACATGTTCTTGGTAAAATAATCTTAATCTGTAATACTTCTTTTAAAATTGCATGCTAATTTAAAGTGAGTGTAATGATCAGGAATGGTGCCAGACTGACCATTTGGAAACTGCACCCCTTTTTTAGCCACATGGCACATTTAGCACAGGATCAGGCCAGCTTCCAGATGCAAGACCCTTCAATGGGTCTTGATCTTACGTTAGCCATCAGCACTGTCCATGTAATACGGCTCTTGGCTTGAACAGTTTTAAAGCAGAGCTGCTTAATGATGATTATCTCTTACATGCCTGTGGTCGTGTTCCACAGTACCACAGTATATTCCACATATTCCACAGTGTGGCACAGAGGTGCCCAGACTGGCAGAAAATGGGTAAGTTAAGCAGAGCAGAGCAATGTGTCACTGGGATGGAAGAGCTTTACACTAGCATGGCTATCTCTACCCTGCGCAGCCATTGGCATCAGAGCCTGTCCCGCTCCCTTCCTCACACTTGTGCTACAGATGGGAGAAGCTGCTTCTGCTCATAGAAAATTGTCGTCTTGTGTCGTGCAGAAGTCCAGAACCTGTGGGTGTAGTTTGGATGAGGTGCTAGGAAGTGCACGTTGAGGAGAAGCCAATGAGTTGGCCAAAGCGTAGACATGGAGGGACAGCTGCTATATCCTGCAGATTTCTCAGACTGCCATTTGGCAAGCGTGTTACTTGTAATGTTATTTAAGTCACTGTGTATTTAAGTTAGTACTCCAGTGAGCCGTTTGCTCCATTTCCAAGTACAATGAAAAGTTTGTGAGCGCGTAAGCAGGATCTAGGTTTGGCAAGAACTAATGCTGCACAGTAGCAGCAGAGAGAAAGGAGCGGGGATTTGAGTATCCTGCAGAAAGCATTTGAGACTGCAGATAAGTCTCCTGAGAATTCACCTTAACTGCCTTGGTATGCCACTATTTTACTCCAGCCAAAGTCTAATTTCTTCCAGAGAGGATCATATTCAAGAATGAGACCGGTCTATGAGCTTTACATGCTGCACCTATTTATACTTTCATATTTATAAAGTAAAGAAAATTATTTCTTCTTTAAGGTTCAGATTTCCCAAGCTCTTTAAGCATCTAAATCCCGCTTCATATAAGACTTTCATCTTATACCAACTTCCTATCATTTAGACCTGGAATCACAACAATGACCCTAAATTATAATCCCTAACTTGGGAAACAACATAGTTTGCATCTATTCAGGAAAGCGTTTAAGTACCTGTAAGGGATTAAATGTTTTCCTAGACCGACGTGCCTAATTACAATTGCCTTTTCTGCCCACAAATTCATATCCCTGCAGATTTAATGCAAAATGCGGCTATCAACATCTCTGGTAAACATTTGCTAACTGAAGGTTGTGTGACTTCAATAGAAACTTTTTCTGAGCACAGGTTCTTGTGTCAGGGTTTGAAGTGTCCCTATCACGTTATGAGCTTCCTAAGCCAACCTAGTTGACAAAATAGTTAAGACCTTCTTGTCTTAAGGTGCACACCCCTTTCTTCCTTCACTGGGTGCACGTCCCTTTCTCCATCATTAGAAATTTGTACTGTCTCTGGTTTATTTTTTAATCCCTGACAATTTAATGAGTCAGCTCAGATACTCTAAAGGTAAATTTCAAGAAATTCCTTACTGAAAAGCATGAGTTAAATTCCTTTCAGAGGAAAAAAGCGTCACAAGAAGTTGTATGTTTATCATTGGTATGATATCAAAAATGCATAATTCACAACGTACGTATACAGAAGAGTTTAGGAAGTTACACAAGTCTCATTTTTTATGCAGTGCTGCCAGAGAGTTCTTCTCATTTGGTACTGCTGCACTTGATTTCATTTTCATAGAATCACAGAATGGCACAGGCTGGAAGGGACCTCAGAGATCATCTAATCCAACCTCCCTGTCATGGCCAGGGACGCCTCTCAACTAGTTCAGGCTACTCAAGGCTCTGTCCAACCTGGCCTTGAACACCTCCAGGTGTTTTCCCAGGTATAGGACTTCTCATTTGTTATTACTGAAGCTCAACTTCTCGATTTTGAACTACTCTTCCAGTTTCTTGGCATGATGCTGGGACTAGCCGCCAAACTGCTGTCATTCTCTCCCAGCTTGGTGTCAAATTGTGCGTTTGTAATGTCTCTTACAAAAGTTGGAAGCCTAAATGAACATACTGGCTAGGTCCCAGGACAGAGTCTGGCGACCTCCACTTGATATACTCTATCCAAGAGCGCATCATTAAGAGCTATTCCCTAAACTCATTTTTTTTCAGTAAGTTTTGCTCTAGCTCAAGGTGACACCATCCATGGATTCTAATATAGTCCTATGATTTATAAGTATTGTTTTTAAGAATGCCACATATAAAAATGCTACTACAATAAAAATGTCACATCTGCTGCTTCTCTTTATCCATTCAGCCATTTTCCCTGTCAGAGAAGGAAATTAGATCTGTTTGACGTGAATTGTTCTTGCCAAATATAAGTTGGCTCTGTTTTCTATACTACATTGTAGGTGGCTTCGAAATTGATTACTTAATAAAGTTTACAGATTTTTTCCTCTTTAATAGCATTGGAGGGAGTAACAGAATTTAATAACCTTTTTTTGATGCCAGTGTAAAAAATAAAAAGAAAGGTCATTCAGAATTGAAATAGACTTCATAATGGAGATGTTCACAGAGTTTTTATGTTGCTGTGCTAGCCAGCAGCACAGTAATTACGCAGGTCAGTGAAAGGGGTCAAAAAATAACAAAAATGCTTCCTATATGCATGGTCTGTCTCCCAAATTACTTAATTATCCATCAGCATTTATATGTGTTAATGAGTAGGAATCCTTTTTACATGGAATGCAGACAGGCTTGTTTCATCCCCTCATATTCTCTTATAAATACGAAGGTGGAGGCCTCTAGCATAATTTCCTCCATTTATTTCTTTCAAAAAGTCACCAGTGTTAATTTTTCTAAAAAGTTATGCTTTAGGTTATCCTATATCAGAAGTAGTGCAGTTTTTCTTTTCTTTTAGGAGACAGCACCCAGATCTTTTCAATAATTTCTCAGGTCATCATTTAGCCTGTAAAATATAACAAATGGATCAAACAGATCCAAATCAATAATCGAAGAAGAGGAAAAGAATACAGAAATATTCCTGACTGATACAGTCGGCTCTGTTAGGTGAAGAAAAAAAAAGCCCTAGGGAGGAAACACTAATCCACAAAAGGTGTATATAGTAGATTATTGCCAATCTGAACAATATGCACATTTTGTATTTAGGCATGCTAGAACTGTCCTTCTATTTAAAAAAAATTAGACATTAAATAAAGAAAATCTGGACAACTTGCTACTTGACTAGTGTCATCAGTATCAACCACTTGCTGGTTGTAGGTGAAGTGCATCTCGGCAATTTATTTCAGATGGTACAAAATTTGCCTGGAGACCGTGGGTGTGTATGTGCTGGAGTACACAAAAGGTTGGATAGAGCAGCAGAGGGTAAGTTTGTCCTCGGAGAAGACGACGACAAGCAGGGGGCAGTGACTGAGGGCAGTCAGTAAGAACGATGACAGTCGGGGAACTGAGCTCGTGGAGGGTAAAATAAAATGTTACTTTGCAGAGCCTCATCT